CAATAAACTCCGAATTCAACAATGTCTGTGCCTAGAAATCGCGAGCTATCAAACTTTTAGTCGCCCGTTATTAGTTGTTGATGAGTAGCAGCCCAACGGGCATGCACGATAACCTGAAGTCGAGCAAGAGCATGCATGCAATGTAGGGCTATTCGTGCCTGTCTTCTTACCACCACCCCTCGAACGACGGCTTGTAGCTTCACTAGGCTTCTTAGTGCTCTATATCCTCGTCTAGCCTATACACATGCCACATATGTACATCCTTGTGATTCTTCGCGAAAAGTAGTTGAATAAGATTATATAAAATATATTATAGCCAAAAGAAAAGTGTAGTATATTTACAAGATGGCCCCTAAACCATGTTTGAATGGCGATGGCGGCATGGTCCTCCCGGTACGTGAAATCCAAACAAGCATTATCATCACGAGCCTCTTCTTGTGGAGTAGTACAATTACTAGTACTGTTGAAATCTTCACAACCGAAGCTTCCGTTGTTCGTGTGGACGATGTGAAAAACTGTCGTGCTGTCTTGATTTTGAGATGTCGGCCGAGTAGCACGAAGGAGCTTAATTCTCCTAATGGCCATCCACAGAAGGCAGTTTTTGTTCCGGGCCATTTTTTGCCGCACGTGTTTGTTAGATTAATATGAGATATATAGTTTTGATGTTTACTTGATTCGGAACTTAGGGGGTTAATGAATGATTCTGATTATAGTGAGTGGTTAACATGTTTGGTGAGACGGATCGGACAACGTGCGGAGATTAATGTAGGGATATTTAGAGTGATTCCGTCGAGATTTGTAACCGTTAAATTAATTATCCACGACGGTTACATGATGATTTAACGGTTCTAAATCCCGACAAAATGATTACGGGACTGTAGCATTTCTCTAATTTTTATTATATGTATATTTATATTGCTAGAAAATTTTTGTGTTTGGATTCAGAAAAAATTATTTATGTTACTGAATTTTATCTGTTGATTAACTATTATTATATCCAGTCTTCATACGGTGTTAATATTAGACTTTTTATGATGCAGAGAAATAAATAAATCAATGTATTTTAGGTCAAAATTTGACTTCTATTAAACCTAAATAATTTTCAATGGCATATGTTGGTTAAAATTTACTACCTCCTATTTTTAATATATATCGTTTTAAGAAGTTTTCAATAATAACCTTATTTAATGAAGATAGAGATGAATGTTTTGAGAAAAAGTGAAGAGTGAATATGAAAAGATGTAATGTATTTATTGGGTAAATAAAGGTAATAATGGAAAAATATGTACAAAATATCCAAAATGACATTTATTTGGTAAATAGTTGAAAAAGCTAGAATGACATTTAAAAAAAATAAGAGTGAGTAATTGTTTTTACCATAAAAAAATATGAAATTATTTTTATCGGATGTGTAACTACATTTTTCACAGATCGACTACAGACAAATCTATTATAAATATTGATAAATCATATCTCTTTTTATTTGTATCATCATTGTCTTCAATAGCTCAAGTTTGAATCAAAATCCATCTTTAATTGAGTTATAACCTTTTTAGAATAATTTTAGGGTTTTAATAGTTGAGTCAAATTGTCATATCTATACTTATATAAAAAGCATTCTATTTACTAGAATTAGTAGTAAGAAAAGTCAAAGGTAATTAATGCATTCTATTTACATCAAGTATTTTATTTAATTGTTTTATCTCATAACACATTTTCAATACAACTTACCATGATTTTGCTATTGTGATTAAAAACTAAATTTTACGTTTAAAATATTGTGAAATTATTATTATTATTTTTATAAAGCACATATTATTTGTTAAAAAATTATATATATATATATAATACACATCACAGTACCATGGTAGATGATTTAAATTTCAACCCACCAAAATGCCAATGATTTAAATTTGAACACATCTATGCGTTTGACCAAATGTCAGAATGATTTAAAATTGAGTCCATAAAAAATTATTTAAATTTGAACACAAATTTTTGTGCTTTTTATTTATAAATATATTGAAACTGGTATTTAATTGTTGTTATATAAACTATTTTAACATATTTGCAATGAATAAAAGTTTGAATGAATAATGTTATTCATAATGTTTGTGAATTACGAGACACGAACACATAACTCCAGACAAGGCTGTGAAAATAACTCATTTAATATTTTTGTCCCGTGCATCGCACGGGGTACGTACTAGTAATCAGTAAAAGGATAATTCATCAAATTTAGAATTATAAATGAAAAAAAATAATAATTTGGAAATTATTTTATTACTTTTTTCTTTTATTTAACTAGTACGAATTTCGTGCGATGCACGCGTAAGAGATATTCATTAATATTTTTTAAATTAAAAATGATCAATAATAATATTATAAATTAAGAACATAGAATAAATATGTAATACAATTTACTTATATTAATTTATTTAAAATCTTATGTGAAATTTAAATTGTGCAAAATTATTTAAAACGCGACTATTTAAAATTAGTAGACAACCGTACGGTGCACGTAAATGATAATAAATTACATCATATTCATTTCAAAATAAATGTTATTTAAAATATTTTGTTCAAAATTTCGATTTGAATACAATGTGGTTCAATAAAACTATTATTTTGTAAAATTTAGTCATATATTTAAAAATCTATGTGAATACTAAATAAGTATAATATTAAAATTTATATTGTTTCATTAATTAAAATAAATTTAATTTTGTATAAACTATACAAATAAAATATTGAAGTGTTGAGTAATTTATTAAACTGACTATTCTATTTACGTCCAAGTTAATATTGACTCGTAAGTTATGAATAATTACTTGTTTGCATTTTAAATATAGAACTTAAATTTGGACTACATAATAAATCCCCTTTTATATTTTATATATGTCTATATTTTTCTAATCTCGAAATTTTCTAGATTTTTTATCGGTTACCTTGTCGTTCAAATTTATCAACTAATTCTTTATAATTAGTTTACAAATTTTAAATTTTGTTAACAAATATTTCTTTAAAAATCTTTATAATTTTCAAGAGGAATACATACCAAGTTGTCGAATTATCATCAACATCTTATGGCAAGTTATTATGACAATATGCTAAAATTTGAAAATCATGTCACCATAATTTTATAACAAATCAACCTAAAATTCGACACTCATACTCATACTAAATAAAATCCATACTACTTTTTTTATTTTAAAAATCTCCAAATATACTGTTATCCGTACCAAATGAAATTCATACCATTTAAATTCGTACATTTCATACTAAAATAAAATTTTCCTGTTTTTATACATCACTAGTACAACACCCGTGTATTACACGGGTGCTTGCTAATTTTTTTCTTAAAATTTAAAATTAATGAGGAAAAGTAGTTTGAAAATTTAAATACCTTTTATAAGAATATATATATATATATATATTATATATTTATTATGATACTTTTTATTTGTGCGACTTACTTGTGTTATATTATACTAATTCTTTAACTTACACTATATAACTACATTAAATATAAATATAACAATTGAGAAATAATTTTATTTTTCTAATGAATTTTAAATATTATTATTTTTTATTATTATAAAGATAAATATAATTTATTTATTTTATATATACAATATGGATGTCAAATCGAAGATCATCAAAAGATGATTAATTTGATATATTATATATGTAAAACCGATAAGAAATACAAAAGTTATATACTTTTAAAATACATTTATAATTCAATAGCTTATTGAAGGAAGCTAATCAAAATTTAGGGATATATTAGTCACTTAGTGTCTCACTATGTAAAATTACAAATAATTAAAGGGTTATATTAGTAAAAGTGATATTAAAATACATAAGTTAGCTAAATAATATTTATGGAATACCCGAACCTAGATTATTAATTATTAATATATTAATATTATTTGTCCAAACCTAATTACGAAGCATGATTTTTTGCCAAATAAGATTCTGAAGCACCAGAAGCAGCCACGTAGGCTCAGCGCATTCTGCAATTATATATAGGGAGGATAATACTCAACTATTAATTTATTTTAAAAATTATGTCAAATAATATGTAATTAGATACATAATTCAGGCCTTAAATTGATACAATTACAAAAAGTGGGGTCTTGTAATAACATTTTCCCATTAATTATTTTTTCATCAAATTTTCTAAAAAAAAGCCATCAACTAATCCAAATATATTTTTCCACTTATACTATATATTGATTTGTTAATCTCCCAAATAAATGATTATCAAATACTAAAAATAAATTTACTCACTTTATACCATATATTGATTGATTTATATTCCATAGTAGAGATGTTAAACGGGCTTGCCCTAGCGATTACGGGCCAGCCCTAGCGGGCTTCGGGCTAAATGGTCCGGGCCTAAAAAGCCCGGATTTAAACGGGCTACCAATAAAAGGACCTAACCCTAACCCTAGCGGGCTTCGGGCTAAACGGGCTAAACGGGCTTTAATAATAGTATTAATAATAATGTATCAAAAAATATCAAAAGTAAAAAGAAAAAAATTATAATAAATTACAACGACTAATTAACGATTGTTTTCGACGGTATTTATTATTTGCTGCTCTATATATACAACTACACATCATATATGAACACATACTACAAACTCTTAAAGAATATTTTTTTTTCAAAAGAAAAAAATATTCAAATTATTACTTACAATTACCATTTCACTAGTTATATTTTGTACGTTTTGGAAATTTTTACGATATTATATCACGATAAATTCTATCACTATGTTTCATGTGTTAGGT